CTGATTGTAGAGATCCTTGTCTGTAGTTTTCGTCAAATTGAACAACTCATTCGAATAATGCACATCGCTTAAACTTTGAGCGAGGGAACTGCAATGGTTGAGATCTGCAAGGTCAAACAATCTTTTCATTCCTTAGATTGCTTCAAATTGACAGTGGGGGCAAAATCGACTTGTTTGCTTCAGAAACTTTTGTTACACCCTGCGGAAGATCCTCGTTGTTACTATTTACTCATTTAGATTTGGTTTTTCCGCGGAATCTGTTTCTACCGTGTCGCAATGTTGATTTGATTAATCTGTAGGGGGCTTAAAACTTTCACTGAAATGCATGAAAATTTGCTCGACATGCATATTAAGGGTTTATTTTCCATTAAATCCTCTACGAAACCACTTTCTGAACTCTGAATAAGGATTTTTTTTTGATGAAACAACAATCCACATGATATCCTTTAACTTGTTTTCAATGTAATTTAAAATTTGAAATTTCATGTAGAGATGGAACATAAAAAAAGTTCCACACTCTACCTCATTTTGAAGGATTACATTCGCGAATTGTATGACCAGTCACGTAAAAGACTTTCCTGAGTTTCATTCTGGGTTGTCATTTCAAATACAACTCGACCTTTTTGTCAGAATTATTGATTAAGCAGCTTTCTCGTGATACTATTGTGCTGTGGTTAAATCACCTTGGTAGTTGCAGCTTTTTCACAGCAGCTAGGTCATTACAAACAAATGGCAGATTTCTGCTTTTGATCCTGGCCACTTTTGGGTAGATATTATTTGGTTTTTTGTTAAGAATCCATTGGAAGTACAGTATTGCCCAACAGGTTAAGTCCATGACTCTTAATTGTGACAGTCGGTCATATTTGGAAGTTTGACCTTGAGCTGAACGTTTAATTTTGATTTTGGGAAGAAAAATTATTTTTTTTCAAAATTTCGAATTGAGCCTATCATGCTCAAGTTTCTCGCGACAACTGAAAAAGCGAGAAAAATACATCAGAAGATTCAAGTGAGAAAATACTAGAGTAAAATTGCTATTCGCAATTTTACTGGAATTATACAACGCAAGTAGAGTTATCTTGTTCCTGATAGGAAGTCGAAATTGCAGGGAGAGAGAAAGAAAAACGATCAATCGTACTAGTGAGAGACTTGTGTGGAAAGGTGGACAGCTGAAGCTACCCAATGGTCCAGATAGAAAAACTTATTTTCGAGCTAAAACTTAGTCATTCAAAACTTCTTGAGTTAGACTTAATTAAACTAAATGAATTCTAGAGTTGCTTTACCGTTATTAGTTATTCCATTCTAGAGGCTGTGTCGGTATGTGAGTACCTAATTCAAGTTTCTTGAGTGTGTTTTATGTGATTATGTTGAGTTAAGTAGTTTTCAGGTTGATCCATCTGAAATGGTGCAAAGGTTCACTGTCCAGTAGAAATTAACGGTATACTTAAGGTTCCGACCCTGTTTTTAATAGCGTTCGATTGTTTTAGGTATTTTGATATCTGACCATGGAGCGTTCTTGTTTCTAGAGTGGGAGGGGGGGTGTTTTGGTAGTAGCTTTTAAGCTGTAACACAGTTTGTAGTCTCATGTCGCAAATGAACCGAATTGGCTGCGACCGCATGAGGTAGAAAAACACAAGAGATAGTGTTCATGACTCTTGAGCCAATGGTTATAGTTTAGGGCCTATTTCTTTTAGCCTCATATTTGAATTAGGTTGGCGGCTGTTACATATGCCTGAGATAAACTGTTCTGATTCTGGGGGAGCGACAACCGTCAAAGTTTGAAGTTTTCTTTCGTCTCTGTTCGTTGTACATGTTTTAGAAATCGTGATTTTTTTTCACATATTAATTGGAAAATGCTTGAGAGTTTCAGAAGCGCTTGTGTCTTTTCCATTTTATCACTGGTACCCAAATCTCCTGCGAATGGCGGAATTAGTGTAATTACTAGGATACACTTAACTTCCATTGTTTTCGTTGAAGACACTGAGCCCGGTTTAATAAGCTTTATCCTTTTCACTTGTACGTCTGTTGAGTATTGCTTTGTTCTCAATTGGTTTTTTTTCCATTTGATTTCCGGAATTTTGTACAAATGTTTCTTCGTCAAGTGTCAAACGGTGGAAGTCATTTTTTCCAACAAGTCAATCTGGAGCCATTTTTTTTTTTTTGCTTTTCATAAAATTTGAGTTTCCTAAAACTTTAAATAATTATTCAAGTTTTTGAGATTCAGGGCCAAATTTTACGAAGTCCTCGCATCGCTTTTCGGATTCAAATCAATAATGACAAGTATGTAGTCTATCGAAAAGAACCTAATTATTTGAAATTCGTTAAAAAATGCAAGTTTGTTAATTGTACCAAGAATAGCTGACCAAAACATCATTAGTCCTTCGACATTGTTTAAGCATGCGGAAAAAATGATTCCCTTCTGTAAAGTGAAGAATTGTATCAAAATGGAAAGTAATTTTGCAGGATTCCCAAAACCAATGCGTTTTGTGGGAATAAATCTGTCATATTTTGTGTTCAGTCTTCAGTGGGTTCATCTTATTAAAATTCACTAATTTCCAGTTAAGATTTTTCTTTCTTTTGAACTTAGAAAACTGAGAATGAATGCGGAGATCTTTCTCTAGTTTTTTTTCGAAAAGAATGGTGTTATCTGTCTTTTTTCTTTGAAGTTTTGGTTTAATTTGGAAAGTTTAGTGTAATCATTGAAGTCTACAACCTGATTGTAGAGATCCTTGTCCGTAGTTTTCGTCAAATTGAACAACTCATTCGAATAATGCACATCGCTTAAACTTTGAGCCATGGAACTGCAATTGTTGAGATCCTTCGAGTATTTTTCCAAGGCCAAACAATCTTTTCATTCCTTGGATTGCTTCAAATTGACAGTGGGGGCAAAATCGACGTGTTTGCTTCAGAAACTTTTGTTACACACTGCGGAAGATCCTCGTTGTTACTATTTACTCATATTAGATTTGGTTTCTCCGCGGAATCTTCTTCTACCGTGTCGCAATGTTGATTTGATTAATCTGTAGGGGGCTTAAAACTTTCACTGAAATGCATGAAAGTTTGCTCGACATGCATATTAAGGGTTTATTTTCCATTGAATCCTCTACGAAACCACTTTCTGAACTCTGAATAAGGATTTTTTTTGATGAAACAACAATCCACATGATATCCTTTAACTTGTTTTCAATGCAATTTAAAATTTGAAATTTCATGTAGAGATGGAACATAAAAAAAGTTCCACACTCTACCTCATTTTGAAGGGTTATATTCGCGAATTGTATGACCAGTCACATAAAAGACTTTCCTGAGTTTCATTCTGGGTTGTCATTTCAAATACAACTCGACCTTTTCATCGGAATTATTGATTAAGCAGCTTTCTCGTGATACTATTGTGCTGTGGTTAAATCACCTTGGTAGTTGCAGCTTTTTCACAGCAGCTAGGTCATTACAAACAAATGGCAGATTTCTGCTTTTGATCCTGGCCGCTTTTGGGTGGATGTTAGTTGGTTTTTTGTTAAGAATCCATTGGAAGTACAGTATTGCTCAACAGGTTAAGTCCATGACTCTTAATTGTGCCAGTCGGTCATATTTGGAAGTTTGACCTTGAGCTGAACGTTTAATCTTGATTTTGGGAAAAATTATTTTTTCAAAATTTCGAATTGAGCCTATCATGCTTAAGTTTCTCGCGAAAACTGAAAAAGCGAGAAAAATACATCAGAAGACTCAAGTGAGAAAATACTAGAGTAAAATTGCTATTCGCAATTTTACTGGAATTATACAACGCAAGTAGAGTTATCTTGTTCCTGATAGGAAGTCGAAATTGCAGGGAGAGAGAAAGAAAAACGATCAATCGTACTATTGAGAGACTTGTGTGGAAAGGTGGACAGCTGAAGCTGCCCAATGGTCCAGATAGAAAAACTCATTTTCGAGCTAAAATTTAGTCATTCAAAACTTCTTGAGTTAGACTTAATTAACCTAAATCAATTCTAGAGTTGCTTTACTGTTATTAGTAATTCCATTCTAGAGGTTGTGTCGGTATGTGAGTACCTAATTCAAGTTTCTTGAGTGTGTTTTATGTGATTATGTTGAGTTAAGTAGAGTTTTCAGGTTGATCCATCTGAAATGGTGCAAAGGTTCACTGTCCAGTAGAAACGAACGGTATACTTAAGGTTCCGACCCTGTTTTTAATAGCGTTTGATTGTTTTAGGTATTTTGAGACCTGACCATGGGGGCGTTCTTGTTTCTAGAGTGGGGGGGGGGGGGGCTGTTTTGGTAGTAGCTTTTAAGCTGTAACACAGTTTGTAGTCTCATGTCGCAAATGAACCGAATTGGCTGCGACCGCATGAGGTAGAAAAACACAAGAGATAGTGTTCATGACTCTTGAGCCAATGGTTATAGTTTAGGGCCTATTTCTTTTAGCCTCATATGTGAATTAGGTTGGCGGCTGTTACATATGCCTGAGATAAACTGTTCTGATTCTGGGGGAGCGACAACCGTCAAAGTTTGAAGTTTTCTTTCGTCTCTGTTCGTTGTACATGTTTTAGAAATCGTGATTTTTTTCACATATTAATTGGAAAATGCTTGAGAGTTTCAGAAGCGCTTGTGTCTTTTCCATTTTATCACTGGTACCCAAATCTCCTGCGAATGGCGGAATTAGTGTAATTACCAGGATACTCTTAACTTCCATTGTTTTCGTTGAAGACACTGAGCCCGGTTTAATAAGCTTTATCCTTTTCACTTGTACGTCTGTTGAGTATCGCTTTGTTCTCAATTGGTTTTTTTTCCATTTGATTTCCGGAATTTTGTACAAATGTTTCTTCGTCAAGTGTCAAACGGTGGAAGTCAACTTTTCCCAACCTGTTCAGCCATTTGTTTTTTTTTTGCTTTTCACAAAGTTTGATTTTTTAAATTTCGAATAGTTGTTCGAGTTTTGTGCGGTATCAACTTTTTCAAATTTTGAAATTTTTGTACATGTCATTTGACATTTAAATTGGTAGGAACAAGTTGGCTTCAAATTAATCATGTTTTTGCCTAAAAATTACTTTGTGATGAGGGTATCGAGCTGGATCCACTGGTCCTGAATGATACGTCGAGTTCAGAATCTGATCTGGCTGATATAGTGCAGCTGTTTTTAAAGCACTTGCTTAAATTTGACTGTTTATAGCCTAATTTTTATTCAATCAGATCAACTTAAAACGACAAAGGTGAGTTAAAATCGACATTAGTGGATGTTTATTTCTTTGATCATTAATTGATTTGTTTTTTGTTTGTTTAGTGGAAAGAATTGATATTGTATAACGAAAACCTTAATTGTAATGAGTTGGAAGTCAGGCACTGAGAAGTGAATGGGCAGTATTAGCGAATAAATAAAAAGCGAATAGGTACTGGGTTAAGTAGCGAAAAGGTGCTCAATCAGAAATTTGATACTTTTGCAACCGCTCTTAAAAGTACCACAAGTATAGCCAGGGAAAAAATTTATATAAAGCATTGTCTGAGTTTTTTCGTGTTGCTTTGGCCACAGAAATTGTTTCTCTTAATTGTCATCACGCTACTCTTTTGTTGACCTATATTAATTTGTGCCATAGCCAGCTTTTAGATAGGTAACACTATCACTAGTAACCATATCTTCTGTGAATGGCTGAATTAGTTTAACTACCAGGATATTCTTAACTTCCTGCTTTTGTGACAGATTGCCCATCAGTGCTGATTTGAAATCAATTTTTTGGTTAGCCTCAGGGTTTGAATCAATCAAAACTTCATGTTTCATTGCGATTTGTGAGTATCGAAACTGTTCATCTGACATTGTTTTCGTTGAAGACACTGAGCTCGATTCGTTAAGCTTTATTCTTTTTTAACGTCTGTTGAGTATCGCTTTGTTCTCAATTGGTTTTATTTTTTCAATTTGATTTCTTGAATTTTGTAAATGTTTCTTCGTCAAATGTCAAACGGTGGTCAATTTTTTCTAACAAGTCAATGTGAAGCCATTTAATTTTTGAGATTCAGGGCCAAAGTTTTTGAAGTCCTCGCATCGCTTTTCAAATAAATAATGACAAGTATTCAGAAATTTGATACTTTTGCAAACCGCTCTTAAAAGTACCACAAGTATAGTCAGGGAAAACATTTATATACAGCATTTTCTGAGTTTTTTCGTGTTGCTTTGGCCACAGAAATTGTTTCGCTTAGTTGTCATCACGCTACTCTTTTGTTGACCTATATTAATTTATGCCATAGCAAGCTTTTAGATAGGTAGTTTAGTGGACTGTTAGTTTTATTTCGGTTGTATTATAGTATCAGCTGTTTGCCGTACAAACCCCTCTGTCTGCGAATATGTCAATATTTAATTAGAGCAAACTGTGTGAATTTGTTCAATGCAGGGTTCTGGTTAAAAAGTATGGTGCCGAAAAGCTCCCAATTGTCCCAATGTGAAACACAGAGGCGAAGCTCTGCTTCGCTAGCAACTGCGAGAACACGAACCATAAATCAGCTCTATCAAGTTAAATAAAGCAGCTCTATCGACGAAATTTTTTTTATTTGTAACACTTGTATATTATATTTTGCGTGTTCTTATCGAAGAAATGTAACCCGTATCGATTTTAATTGTAAGGACATCTACACTTGTCATCTTCTTTTATCATTATCACTTCCATATCTAGAAAATTCCAAGGATTTTGACTGGAATACGTGATGAAGGGACTCCTGACTGTAACCTCGGTTACTATGATACTTTTGACCTTCCAGTTAAATAAGAACAAGTAGAAATAAACCTGAAATTAGCAAAAACTTCGCTTCGTGTGGGATTCGAATCTGCGACCTACTGCTATTAAGAGATTTTGAGTCTTGCGCACTATCCCCTCAGCCACTTAAGCTTAATAACTGACAAATATTAGTCACGAATAAAGCAGCTACATATGCTAACAAATTGGCTATGCGATACGGCACTAAATAAAAATAGACTGAATGCATTTAATAATTTGGATTATAACAAACTGAAGTCATCCACACTAACTTTGCATGTAAATAATTGCAAAGCATAAAGCCACATTATGTATAACTTACGCATTTCATAAAATTGCGAGATATTATGAGTTTTAAAATTCCTGTTTGATTTATTAAACAGGTATTATGAAAACGTTTTTTTTTTCCTGATGAGATCTGGTTTTTTTTTTTTTTTTTTTTTTTTTTTTTTTTTTTTTTTTTGAGACGCTTTTTCGAAAATTCGCTTTCCGAAAAAACTACCCATCAGATTCTCATTAAACTGGTACCAATGGATTCAGTAGCGTTTCACCTACCTGCCTGCATGAAATTTAGGGCAATTTTTACCCTACCCATCCCCCTACGGTCTTAAAAAAGCTTCACAACTCGGTACTTTTTTCACTTTTTGCCCATTTTTTCGGAAATTTTCGATTTCCTCAAAAACTACCCGTCCAGATTTGGGATTAAGGGTTTAATCGATAGACCAGGTTGTAGGAAACTCCCATGCACAAGCGGCTGGTCCCTAATTTGCTTAGGGGAAGAGCTATAGACTTAGGAAAAGTCACTTTTTTGGCATTTTTTCAAATCTTTCCGATTTCCTCAAAAACTACCCGTCCAGATTTGGGATTAAGGGTTTAATCGATAGACCAGGTTGTAGGAACACCCCCTACACAAACGGCTTGTCCCTAATTTGTCTAGGGGAAGAGCTATACACTTAGGAATAGTCAATTTTTCGGTTTTTAGGCTATTTTTTCAAACTTTTTCGATTTCTTCAAAAACTACCCATCCAGATTTGGGATTAAGGGTTTAATCGATAGACCAGGTTGTAGGAAACTCCCCTGCCCAAGCGGCTGGTCCCTAATTTGCTTAGGGGAAGAGCTGTAGACTTAGGAAAAGTCACTTTTTTGATTTTTTTGCCTATTTTTTCGGAAATTATCGATTTCCTCAAACTACCCATCCAGATTTGGAATTAAGGGTTTAATCGATAGACCAGGTTGTAGGAAACTCCCCCGCACAAGCGGCTGGTCCTTAACTTGCCTAGGGGAAGAGCTATAGACTTAGGAAAAGTCACTTTTTTGGCCTTTTTTCAAATCTTTCCGATTTCCTCAAAAACTACCCGTCCAGATTTATTATTAAGGGTTTAATCGATAGACCAGGTTGTAGGAACCCCCCTACACAAACGGCTTGTCCCTAATTTATCTAGGGGAAGAGCTATACACTTAGGAATAGTCAATTTTTCGGGTTTTAGGCCATTTTTTCAAACTTTTTCGATTTCTTCAAAAACTACCCATCCAGATTTGGGATTAAGGGTTTAATCGATAGACCAGGTTGTAGGAAACTCCCCTGCCCAAGCGGCTGGTCCCTAATTTGCTTAGGGGAAGAGCTATAGACTTAGGAAAAGTCACTTTTTTGATTTTTTTGCCTATTTTTTCGGAAATTATCGATTTCCTCAAAAACTACCCATCCAGATTTGGAATAAAGGGTTTAATCGATAGACCAGGTTGTAGGAAACTCTCCCGCACAAGCGGCTGGTCCTTAACTTGCCTAGGGGAAGAGCTATAGACTTAGGAAAAGTCACTTTTTTGACTTTTTTGGCCTTTTTTCAAATCTTTCCGATTTCCTCAAAAACTACCCGTCCAGATTTGGGATTAAGGGTTTAATCGATAGACCAGGTTGTAGGAACCCCCCTACACAAACGGCTCGTCCCTAATTTGTCTAGGGGAAGAGCTATACACTTAGGAATAGTCAATTTTTCGGTTTTTAGGCCATTTTTTCAAACTTTTTCGATTTCTTCAAAAACTACCCATCCAGATTTGCATAATGAATGCATAAGCTTCTCTTTCACTTTTTTGCGTAGGAAGGGCGCTATCGACCTGAGAAACCTGAAATTTTAAAACAATTTTAAAATAATCAATATTAAAATAATCAAACAGGTCTCTCCAGCTTTCAGCTGGGCCCCTAGTTTCTGAAATCGAGTTTTGATTATGAAATAAAAATGCATTAACTGTGTTAATTTATTACTATTCGAAAGCACGTGCTATCAAAAAGCTGTAAAGAGGGTTGCCGCACCATAAAAGTGTCGCGCCGATATTTGCGACTTAGGTTGGAAAAAAAGAAGGTTCGTACTAATACACTAGCTTCGCAAGTGTGATCAGACGAAAAGTATGCATCGCATTTTCTCTTTTTTTCGAATTTTTTCGCTCACGAAAACATTTCGCCTAAATTTCATCGGACTACTTTTTCCTTGAAGTTCGCCTTCTGCTAGAGCAAAATTAAAAGTAGTTAATTTATTGAGAGATCAGAGTTATTATTCGGTCGTATTATAGTATTATGGCTTTCGCTGTTTCCAAGTTATGCCAGTAAAGTGTGCACAAAGGGTATGCCATTCCGTGAAAACTTTCTTTCTATTACTTCAAGCTGAAAAACTTCCTTAGCTTTTCTTGAGTTATACCCACTTGAAGAATTTCACATAAATTTCAAATGGTTTAATGGAATCACTACTGAACGAGCTTTTTGAATGGACTCACTGAAGACGGCGGGACAAAATTTCTAAACTAGTACCAAATGCAGCCATTTTAGTTGAATACTCAAGAGAGTACCTAAAGACTAGCATGTTCCTCTGGCGGGAAGCTTTGGGACTAATTCAATGACATCTTTTACAATGTAGAAGCTCTCACTGAAAACATACATGTTTAACGTCTTTGTTTTTTAGAGCAACCTTAAAGAACTGTGAGCTCGTAATGTAACAGTCGTTCACTCAATTCACATATGAGATTAAGAAAAGTAGGCCCTATTTTAACCATTTGCTCAAGAGTCGAGGGATCTTGTGCTTTAGTACCTCAATTAGTCGGAGCCAATTCACGGTTTGCTTATGACATGGAACTTTCGGATCGTTACCGCTTAAAGGCCACTGCCAGAATACTCATCCGCAACCTAGATAAAAATCAATACGCACCGATGGCTATGTCTCTAAATACCTGAAACATGCGAACGCAGTTAAAGCCATTTTTTATTGGACAGCGTACATTTGATCCGCTGTACATCAGATTCCTTTTCCTCTTCGCATACGATCTCAAGCTACGCTTCTCAGTGTTCAACAACCACATAGAGAACCTGCCAAAAACCTGCCTTCTATGTCAAAAAGTGGTCGTACAAGTCTTTAATGAAAGGAAATTATCATTAAATTTTTTGCGGACAATATTTTATAACAAAAGAAAGAGGTGAAAGATCTGGGTTTTTAGTTGAGAAAATTGTGAAAATGAGAAAATGTTTATATCTGGTGAAAAGAGATACCACACAATTGTAAGCTAATATAAAGCATCTCGAAAGTTTAAACAAGGAAGTTATAAAGTGGTTGTCACCATTCATGATTTATGAGAAAGTTTTTCAGCTGGAAATCCTTCCCATCCCATATCTTCATGTTCTCAAAGATCAAATGCTGTGCAATAGAATATATCACAGATGCGATGTCTACTTCATTATCTGTATTCATACCAGAGGGCAGTTTAAGTTCCAAATACCACCTATAAAAAAGAGGACAAATTTCTGGCTTATAACTCGCGAGAGCAAACGCAATATCCGAGAAAATTGACTTCTTAAACCCTCAAAAGATTTAAAAGAAGAATTATCCGGGAAATGAATAAACTTTCATAGAACCTGATTCGAATAACGATTTTTGCAAATAAACACTCTGTTTTTTGTGAAAACTTCAATTAAATGTACTATACTAAACTTCAACTGAATTTAAGTAAAACGAGAGAAATTCTCTTGGCATGCATAATTTTCTATTATTATTTTTTATGGTTATTATTAATATTTCCTAGTTTTGCGTTTCTGATGTGGACGAGTGGGCACGACAGCAACCAACGATTTCCATCGGCAATTGCGTGGTTTTCACTTTCTACTCCCAAATCATGAAATCTGAAATTAACAAAGTGATACAAACAAACGGGGGCGGCATTGTTTTATCTCGAAAACGTATGTTTGATTTAAAAATGACATAAATTTGCCGCGAAAATATACCCAAATCTCCAGAACCAATCAATTATATCTTAGATTATCAGTATGTTTATCACATCTAAGCTATCGCGGAGATACAGGTCCCACCGCTGGCCTTAAACCAGAAGCTTAAAATAGTCGGCTTTGTAGTCTTTGGCCGTTTGAATGTTTTTGGTACAAAAGTGATTGATTTTTTATTTTGGTACAAATGGGACTTATTTTTCTTTTAGCTATTTTTGAATACCCATCTGCGGTTGTCTAATTGTTGCTAGTTAGCCCCATAGATGGGTAGAATCGTTAGAAAACTCAAAGTTTTTTCAGAATTTCTTGGCGTTTGAAGTGCAGTGCAAACGGTTACGCTACTGGTCTTTTGATTGTTGGACAAACTTGTGCTCATAGTTTCCCACCAAAATAACTAGCAGTATATCGGACTCCTATGCGGCTCCTTGAGTTATTTTTAGTTGGGCCCAACACGGCAGTTAGACTTGAAGGAATTCTTCTGGGTTGTGTGCTACGGAAAAAGTAAATTTCTTCCCGGATAGCCGAAAATTTATTGAATTTCACTGGTCAGGGTGAACCTGGTCAATATTTACTCGGCCATGAGTAATCGTTTCAAGACATTTTTTGTTTAATTTTTGGCTGTTCGGGAACATATCTTTTCGGCTGTCCGGAAACATAACCTCTTTTCGGCTATCATGGAAAGCACCTCTGTGGGCATGCACTTTGTTAAGGTAGTGAATTTGAGATACTATTCAGATTATTGAGGCACTCTAAAGAGTTTGAGAGCGTTCTTGCCCGTAGTTATGTGTCTTTTGAGTGCATTTATCGGTATCAATTTGACGACCAGTTAAATAGAAAGTAAGTCGGAACGATTAACCAATTAAGTATTTGCGTCTCTACAGATAAGAAATTAGAACTCACTTGGAGGTAATGTGATTCATTAGTTTGTTATTTTCAAATCAGAAAAGAATGTTTCATTTGTCCTATTGTATTGCTGTTTTGATTCCAATTCGACCACTTTGTTCTAAATCTGACTGCGCTGAAAGTTTTGTTGATAGGAAAACTAATTTACTTGGTATGAATGGTGTTTATAGTTTTTTCAGGTAGATATGTCATCGTCAAAACTGTATGGAAAAGTGGTTGTGATCAAGAGAGATGGTCAGGATGGAGCCATCTTCCCCATGCACACCAAATCCATCACCATCGGAAGGTAACAATGTTTATCATCATCTAAGCAGAGAAAGGCGAAATTTGCTCAGACGTATAGGGTGCACCACTTGAGCTAAATTTGAATCAATATTTTATGATATCGTCCATTATTATGATGGTTTCTGGATCCAAAAGAGCAGTTTTGTTAACTTGATTCCCATTGTTATTAAGGTGAAAATGTCGCGCCCATTAAGTTTTGGCGATTTTAGCGAAAATGCGCACAAGTTTTGTTTTCACCTAAGACACTAGTTAGTAAGAATTTTCACCTAAATTTTTGGAGCAGTTTTTCTCGATAACCAGCGACGATTTTTGGCGTAATACCAGAGTTCATAATACCAGTAAACAAAGTTTAGTTTGATGCGATACTCGATTACACATGAGCTTGCGCTTATATATTCCGGTAGGCGCAGATTTTGACCAATAGGATTCCGAATCATGACCAATAGGGCTTTTATATGATACATCTTTTGGTGGCCCATTACGAGGTGGGGCGACATTGGAACCCATTCCTACGTCACAGTACCATCCAATCGCTTTTTGACGTGGTCAAAGTAATAAGGTAATATGTAAATTTAATTAGTGTGCGTGTTTGTTATTAGGATGCCAGCGTGTGACATTCGAGTTCAGTTGCCAACCGTGTCCAGAAGCCACTGCAGACTGAGTGTGAATGCCAATCAGCAGGTCATCCTCACCAACCTCAGCAACATCAACCCAGCACAACTGAACGGGAAAATGATCAGACAGGAGGCACCTGTCTACCACGCAGACATCTTACAAGTCGACGACCGGTTCTTCAGGTATGCCATTCGACCGATACCATTTTGGAGTTATGCTCTTGCATAGGATTTGGCATATCGACAGACTATATGATGTTCAAGTAAAAAAAAATGACCAAAGTCTTGTCAGCTTTATTCTCTCTGTGAATCATAAATTACGAATTTTTTTTTGATAGTTTCAAGGAAGGAATCAGAGGTAGAGTTGAAACAGAAAATAGCTTATTCTTTTCGTGGTTTTTTTGTGCAAAAATACGGGATCAATTGAACATTCTTTCACATAAATCATTTCAGGGTCAACCGATTGTTTTGAGGTTGATAATTTTTTTTCACTCAATCAGAATCCAGTTTCGCGCGTCCACCCTCTGGGTAAACTGCTAATTTGTGGTGCGATATTTTTTTCGTTCTGCTGAATTAGATGTGAATTTCATGGAAGTTTTGTACATTTTGATAGAATTATATTTGGAGCGCCAGGAGAGGTGTTTTTTTTTCTAATTATTTGGATTTTTTTTGTATTTTGTGAACTATTTAAGATTTTGTGTGGTTCTAGGTTTGAGTACCCGTCCAACAGTGTGTTCATGCATATTCCGAAGAGTGCAGATGTCAAACACTTCGCCCGCAACATGATCGTGAGTCATCATAGACACCACAATAAATACATTTAGACCTTTTCTTTTATGGCTTATCGCCAAATAACTCAGCGCCAAATAATTGATGATACTACTCCTTAGAGGCTGATTTTTTATTTTTTAAAACCTTAAATTCTTCGATTAAAGACATAGGCTGGTCATGCTTAGTCATATTAGTCTGGTTGTGGTATTATAAATAATGTAGTTCCTGCGAATCGCAGAGGAGCTATCAGTAGGCCTTTCGAGGATATCCCTGTCGAGGATAGTCCATGAGTATTATCTCCCCACATTCCAGATTTAGATATTCTGTTGAGCGAAGCTCTTTTTTTACGATTCATGGCCGTTTTATTGCGTCCAGAACTTTCACGTGGTTCCATTCCAGTCGAAATTGGTCAGGCTGTGGTAGACCTGAAGCTAGAGGTCAAGTGAGAGCTCATCCTCACACACTATCATTGCCATGGCATTAACTCGCAAATTGATTGGGATCTACTTAACAACCCCCACCCCCATTCCCCCCTATCGTTATCGTATCTAGTATAAAAATCCCCACCCCTCTAATAAATTCAGTAAATTTGGACTACAGTTTTCTATTGAGAATTCGAACTTTGCTGCATTCGGATTGGTCCAAATTTCTACTTACTTAATCTACTTGAACAATCCTCCTTTTTTGAAGAGCATTGTTAAGTTTTTGTACAAAATCAGTGGGTGTATTGTTTAGGTATCTGTAATGTTGTGATCCGAAAGGTTCTGTTTAGGATGTGCTAAGCAATCAACAAGAAGAGGAGCAAGATCCAATCGGAGAAGACCACGTTTTAAAAAGTAAGTCGCCTGCTTGTATTGAAGTCGCATCCCCGCTAATAAGCGTACATTTGAACCCAATTGAAAATATCCTGTGCTTTCATGACTTCCAAAAATTAGAAGCATTCAACAAAGTCAAAAATCTTTGTCTTATAATATCGGGTATAATTTTGATAAAAACTACGATCAACTTTGATAGACTTTAAGCCTTAGGTCGATTTCCCAGATCTGAAAACCATTGATTACAATACTTTTGGACTCTATTCCATAATTGTGATATCCGCTCTTAGGAACTTTTTGGATGAGATGTTGAACGTGTAAGTTGAATAAGGATCCTATAAGAGTTAAAATATGTGCAGAACATACATGCGCTTAGCTTTCTTTTTGGTTAGTTTTACGTTTGCTTTTCGTGCAGTTCCTATTATTCACTATCTCATATTCCCAGTGTTTTGACAAGATATTTACATGCATGGTCAATTTGACTGGATAAAGATAAAATTTTATAGCCAATCTTTCTTTGAAAATTAGGACTAAATTGCGTGCTATAATATATTTTGCGCGCTAATTGCGTCCATTTAATAAAATATTTCGGCGTAGTATTGCGTATTGTTTTGCGTTGCAAGTCTTTACTTGAGCTTGCTTGGATTGTGAGATATCGTTAAATCGAGTCCAAGTGTCGTATTTGAATTACTCACCGTTTAAAATTAAAGCCAATTTACGTTTGCACGCGCCATAACTATTATCAATTTATCGCTATCTAAAATTTTTTTTTAGCTGTGAAAAAACCGAGAAAATCAATGGCATCATCCGACTACAAGTCGCCAGGAAAAGAAGCGCTGATGAGCTCGGGAAAACGAATCTCATTTGCCGCCAAAGCAATCAGTCCAGAAATAATTGACAAGAACCTCCCCGCCTCCCAGCCCGTGAAACGAGGATCGATTCCAGCATCTCCCGTTCCAAGTAAAGTGAGAAAGAGTCTATTGAGAACTCCAGGAACTTGCGAACCACTGCGGGAGCTTAACGAGTCCAATGAAGGCAGGTCAAGCTCCGTAGGAGTGAATTCTAGCTCTGCTAAGAGAAAGTCAGAACCCGCTAGGAAATCAAAATCGGTCAGCCCACATTCGAAAAAATTAGCTAGGAAATTGGTAAACGACGAGAATGTTGATACATCTTTGGACGCTTCGGGAATTGAAAACAGTTTGGCGCAGAGGAAAATAATTACACCGAACCGAAGATCCCGAGTCTCGATTCGAACTGACAGTCCGGATTCGTCTCTGGATTCAATCACTGTATTTTTGACGCCCGATGGAAGAACGCCAGCTGCCAACAAGGTCGTCCCTGCCTCGATTAAATCCAAATTTCAAACACCGTGGATGTCAAATGTGAAAGGATTGCCGAAAGTTTCCCCGAAAGACCCAAAAGTTCCCACCCCGAAATCACAGAACCCGTCGCCGGGAAACAAGAAGTCGCCACAAGGTCAAATAGCGAACGCTTCTCCTGCAAAACAAACGCCTTTAAGTCCAATGACGAAGAAAAGTTTGGTTGCCAGAAGCTCGGTTGCTCCCACTCCTAGGGCCACAAACATGCGAGTTGAACTGTTAAAGAAGACGTTGAATAAGTCTGAAATGGTAGGACGTAAGAGTTTAAATGGAAATGGTCCGGTGAGACCGAAATCAGCCAAGGCTGAAGGTAGAAAGAGTACCCTCATGGGTAAGAAAGTGGTGCTTGGCAAGACTCCTGGAAGTATGTCTTGGGCAGATATTGCGAAGAAAAGATTGACACCGAAAGCGAAGATGACCCCTCAAGCTGTGGTTTCGAAGATCATCAAAGGCAAACGGACGTTCAAAGTGAGAACGAAGCCAGCTAAGAGGAATGTAGTGCATCAGGTAAGCAGTCTTTCGAAACTCTTCTGGTTGTTGTTCCGACTTTCGATACGAAAGTAACGGAATATTTGTGCTCGGGTGGGGTTTTTTTTTCTTCAGACAAATTTCGACTTTTCAACTAGCCATTTTTGACGGAATTTTTTTATATCATTCAAAAATTATTGTTGTCCTGAGCTGAAATTTGAAAAGATATTTCACCTGTGATAATTTTTCGTAAAGTTATGGGGGCTTAAAGATTGCCATTTTGGCCAATTTGGGACAATTAACGCGCGATATAATTCGCGCTATTAACGCGTAAGCGGAGATTTAATCCGTCTTAAAAATCGTTCCAAATTGGTTGAAAGAAGCTTAATTGATTTGTTACAAGTAGCGAAATCTATCCTTTTGTTCTTTATATGGCGTGTGGGGGATGAGTTTCAAGAAAACAATTCAAATTTAAAAAAAAAAAATTTCATTTTATTTTATTACATTTAATTTTTTTAGGTTATTACTGCTCCATAAACCTTAAAAGGCAGCCGGAACATTCAGGGCTTTGCCCTGATGCCAGCAGTCTTGTTTCATTTTGTTAGCTCAAATGATAAATTAGTTTTTATATTTAGTTTGAAAAAAATTTCTTCCAAACCAAAATACAATCTGTTGGAAAAAATCAGTTCATAGAAAAGGTATTGAAATCTTGTTTTGCTTAGGACATGACTCCTGATCTCGTGATCCAGAAGCCAGTTGCAGTTGTCAAGCCAATTGTGTCATCAGTCGAAAAACGAATGACTCCCTCCAAGAGCCCGCAAATCCCAAAAGTCAATTCTCCAGGAGTGCAGAAACTAACCAAAACAACACCTGCGATACAAAAGGCAGTTCTCGAGAACAGAAAAGAACTGATTGTGCGAAGCTTGACCTCGAAGACGCCGGATAAGTCGAACGTTGAAATTAAGTCTCTTTCAGGGGCAGAGCACGTCAAATCCCCATTGCAGTCAAACTCAACCGTTCTAAACGTGTCCGTGCGAGATATCCCTGCAGCTAGACAGTCATTGAACAAATTAGATGAAGGAAAAGATATGACTGTAAAAGCGAATACACCTAACAATACTCCTGTGAAAGTACCAAGTGCTCAGGTTAGTCGACTTTCGTCTGTTACCAAAGTTGCAAACTCGGTGAAGGCTGAACCGAGCCCAAAGCCACAGTCGTCTGGAAACGTTAAAGTGGATCCGAAACGAAATTCTGCCAGTAAGACACCTGTGAAAATAACAGTTACGCCGAAAAGGATGTCAGAGTTAAAAACTCCGACACCAAAAATCGTACCATCTCCCCGATCAAGCTCTGCTGTGAAAACTCCTCTAACCAAAGTTCAAACACCGAAAACATTGTCTGATAGCAAGAGTTCATTAAAATCTGAGACAAAACAACCAGAGGCTCCTGTAAGTGCAAAGAAACCTTCACCAAGGTCACGATCTGTGAGTAAAACTCCAATCAATGTTGCAACACCTGGTAGGCTTAGATCAGCTAGCAGAACTCCAGGAAGCGTAGCTTCTGTGTCTGAACGAACACCAGCTGGTAAGTCGCTCGCTAAGAAGGTTACTCCGATTGTAAAAACTGAAGCTACGCCTAAAAATAAGTCCACGTCCCCTGGAAAAACCGTCAGTGAGAAGATATCACCGGAAAAATCATTACCAAGAATGAGTTACATCAAATCTCCGGCAAAATCAGCAGAGACTCCAAAAGAAGAGACGCCAGCCAAGCAGACTCCCCAAAAACAAGAACAGGCTACTGTTTCTTCCGCTGTCAAGTCGCTTGCTGGTAGATCGAGGTCTGCGAGTAAAACTCCTATCAAGGCTGCAGAGGTTCCGGAACCCTCTTCTGAAAGCAAATTAGCTGCCAAACAAGTTAAACAAATTACGGGAGGAAGTCGTAAATCAAAGAGTATGAGCCCAAAATTAGACGGATTGCGGAAGCTGTTGAGGACTCCTAAAACAGTGCAGTCGCCAAGACTTTCTGGAATTGCGAGCCTTCTCAAAACTCCGGTTGTTGCAGCTGTTGTGGAAGTTAAAACTACGGCTAAGAAAGTCACTCCAATGAAATCTCCCGTGAAAGCGACTCCGCAGAGGTCGACGAGAACTAGAACTAGACGAGGGGCTAAAGTAGAGGAGCCGGAAACCGATGTGCAAGTCGAACAGGTTGAGGTATCGTCAAAGAAGGTCAGCAAAAGAGGAGCTCCTAAGTCAGTTGAAAAAGAAGTTACTCCTGCAAAATCACCTAAAGTAGCATCACCAGTTAAGACTCGAACCCGAAAAGGACGCGCAGTTAAAATTGTGGAACCACCGGTTGAGAAATCTCCATTGAAGTCATTGCCGGCTGAAGAAAAACCGAAGAGTCCAGCTAAAGTTTCACCCAAGCCGAAGCGAGCAACGAGAGGAAAGAAAGCCGATGCTTCTAAAGAGCCAATTGAAACTCCAGCAGAGTCGAACTCGGAAACAACAGCAAAAACTCCAGCGAAAGCCCTGAAAAAAACTGAGGAAGTGATTGAAACGGCTTCAAGGTCAACGCGCACACGTCGCGGAAAAGCAACCGAAGAACCTGTCTCGGTTTTAACCGCTGAAAAAACACCAGAAAAGAAAAGTCAAGCCAAACGCAAAGCGAAAACTCCAGCGGAAAAGAGTCCGGTTATGAAGTCTGCATTGAAAAATTCTCCGACTGTAGCTGAGGTGGTTGAAGTTGAGGTTCCGACGCGAAGTACCAGAACACGAAGAGGAAAAGCTGTAGAGCCTAAAGCGGCCTCACCCGTTGAGAAGAGTCCAGAAAAAAGGAAGTCACCTCCTAAAGAAGATGAGCCTCCTAAAAAGACCAAGAAAGTGGAATCTAAAGCAGTCGAAGAGGAATCAGCTTCCAAAGTGAGTCCAGTGAAAACCCGAAAGTTGAGAGGAAAGGCCAGAAGTCCGAGTCCGGCAAAGAGTCCAGTGGCAGTGCCCGCGCCTTCCGCTAAAACATCAAGGAAAAAGAAGGAAACAGAAGTTGTGGTAGAGGTTGCTGAAACTCCCAAGAAGGCTACTCCACCGAGGAAAACCCGACGAGGGGTGAAAGCAAGTCCAAAAAAAGCTATGAGTCCCGTTGCTCCAAAGTCAAAGAAGGCAACTAAGTCTAAATCCAGCCCTGGAAAAAATACAATCAGCCAAGAAGTTGTTGCAAGCCCCCCTAAAACGAGGTCTCTGAGAAACCGAAAAAAGTGATTGTTTTGTGAAAACTAGATTGTTAGTTTGATTTCCATTGTTTTGTTGATTTTCTTGTGCTTCGAAAGTCATGATTCAGTAGTGCATAAAACTATAAACATCTGTGTTTTTTTAAATGTATTTGAACCTAACCCTGCTTAGTGAACGGTCCAAAGACCTGACATTTTTTGTGTTGAACTATTTAGTTCACGAGGCAATTCAAAAAATAACCCAAAAAGGTGTAAAATTTCATAAAAGATATATGATTGTGGTGAACTGTTTTGTAATTTTTGAATTCATTGTTAATCTGGATTAAATTTTTGTGTGATACAGGCTAATACAGCTAGGAATAAGAAGTTGCTCAATTTTAATGTTTCGCAGATACGAAAATATCAAAAACAATGCTTACGGTTGAAAAAGTGTCATATCGCTAAACTAGTTTAAAAATCCAAAATAGATTAACCAGTTTATCCCGAACACTTCAAAATCAGAATTCAAACTCTAACATGAAACCCCAGTTGTGCGCAGTCGATAGTGCTTAGGGAAGCTTAAATGGCCGAAAAAAACTTGGCAAAATAGTTCTTTCCCACTATTTGAAAGAGCTCGGAACGATCTCTTCGCAGTATCACAAATGGAACTACGAATGTAGCCTGAAAGACGTCAAGCTTTTAACTTCGAAATTTTTTTTGATACTTGGGCAAAATAGTTATGACAGCTTGAGAAATCATTTATAATTTTAACGGATATTGGGCAAGTGATTGTGTCGACATTGTAGCTTTACTGCTTTGCATGACATGTTGAAACAATCGCTATTTCAGCAACTGTTTCTGGAAAGTTGTTTCTCTCATTTACTGCCATAAAGGGTCTGGTGCAGTACATCAGCGTCGTGTTTATCAGCCAATTGTTCGTTATCCAGATTTTCTGTCTTCACCAATTTTGCATAAACAAGCTTTATTGTTCCGACCATTGCAAATGGGCAGGAACTTAGTATTCGGGGTATTTTAGTTTTTTTTTTCTATAATGTTTTCCACGCAAAATCAGGTACCACTAATAATCATCGGATTTGGTTGAGTTATATATCATATTCAAGCCCTTACAGTCGTGATTCGAACCATATTTGAAAAATTCTAAAAAGGTCCCAGTGTTGAGAAAAACCGGTTTGAAATTTTGGATTTTTCATCTTATTTCGAACAAATAAAGCGATCGAGCAGTCTAATTTTAATTGCTTAAAAGCTTACAATAGCTCTATTTAAAACGTGAAATTTTTGTTATTCTTGAGTAATGTTAGTTCATATTGAGTTTTTTGCGCCTATTTGTAATCAATGGCTTCAGAAATTAAAAAAAACTGCCAAAAAAAACAACTTGAGAACATTTAAGCCAATAGTCTCGCAGTTCTACTGTGAGCAATATGACCACTGCTAAATTAACCCCACTGACACCCTTAATAATTAACAACAAAAATGAGCCTGATTTTAAAGTTCTGCAACTCAAGGCAAACGGCTTAGACTTAAATTAGATTATATATTACACCACATGGCAACAACGGACACCAAAGTTGCAGAAATACAAAAGACATTCTTTTTCAATGAACCCAAGCCCCCTCATCAATATATCAAATTTTCGTCCAAAACCGACCTAATTACCGCGGCAAAAGAGTTGAACTTGCCTTAATTAGCAAGGTTGATATCATATACCAAACTCTTAAACTACACCAAAATGACCCACACATAGAACAACAATCAATTAAAACAGTAACCAACGCATCCAGCTCTACACTTTATAACGACTACATCCCGCCACACTCAAGTTGTAGATCTTGATACACTGCGTCAATTCAAAACCTACGAACGAACATATGCAATAATATTAGGTGATGTCATTGCACATAATTCTCTGTGGTCCTCCGAACTACAACCTGACTCGCGCGGCGTTAAAATAGCAGATGAAATTGTTGCGTCCGACTTTGTTGTACTCGATGAACACACACCCAATAGGAAATCGAATAATATCGTTAAATCACCTGAGATCAAGTTAGCAACATCAAATTTTGCACTGTCCGCAGATTGGCACTGTAACAACAAGTTCGGTTTGATCATTCTGCCATCACATTGGAAATAACCTGGGAAATTCAAACTGTTTTCAAAATAAGAGCGAAATTTTTTTCGAGTACTACTATTGCCCGAATCAGCTATCGAAAGCGAGAAAGTTTCCCGGAAAATTATCTGCGGCGCGGCATCTAGACATATACCTCAGGGATGAATTAAAGAGGTAAAGCCCAATTTGCCAACTGTAGATCTACTTCTCACAAGAGACAAACTTCCACAACAGGACCCTGGAGCCCCAAAATAAGTGAAATTAATAAAAAAATTATTAATCTAGTCGAAGTTAACAAAAGGCTAATTAAATTGAGTTTCTTGGAAATGTTGACCATCGAGGAGCAACAAGTAAACTCTGGTCTACAATCAAAGGACTATCAAACACCAATCCCAAAACACCAACGAACCCCCCGCACTCTTTGCCGATGAAGATGCAGTAAAGTCCAGTAAAGAAGCAAAGCACTCGGACCAGACAACATAGCTTCAATGCATCTATATTTCATTGGAAAACAAGCCATCAAATGTTTGAGCAATATAAGTTTCTCACGGAGTAATGTAATCGTGCCAAAAAGATGAGAAGAATTGTACCCCTAGCTAAACCAGGAACAGGAAAAGATCCAGAACAAGTTAAGAGCTACAAAACAGACCAATTGGACTGCTCTCTCCAGTAGCAAAACTCGTATATCGCATACTTTTACCTGAATTTAACTTGAACATACATTTTTGACAACATCAACAAGGCTTTAGAAAAGAATGATCGACTAGTACTGCCCTTAAGGGCATCTCGTTCTACATCAAAGCTGGCTTGAACAATGCAAAATCTTGTCAAAGAACAGTAATGGTTGACCTAGACTTGACTGCAGCCTTCGGTACTGTTGATCACCACAATTCTGCTCAATGATATCACCAGCTCGAATCTATTTGATAACACCAAAAGATGTTTTCTTGTCTCTCAATAGAAACACTCATGTAGAATTCGCGGATACTGAATACAAACGCATGAAGGCGAAATGAAGTTTTTCCCAAGGTTGTCCGTGGTCCTTAACCTATATGTTCCACTGCCTTAGAATATAAACATCAGAGGAAAAACTTAAGCAGACGAACCTACTAAAACAACACTCGGTCCCAACATCAGCAACCTCACCCAGGCCATAAGTTCATACTTAGAAAACCTTAACACCTGGCTTACAAACAGAAATCTGTCACTCTCAAAGGATAAATCTACAACATCTATCTTTTCAACTTGGACAAATGAGTTCAATCTAGAACCAAATGTAACTGTCGACGGCACGTAACTGTCTGAAAAATTTCGAAAAAAAAATAATGTCATGAAAAATCCTGCCGCCATTACTTGGGTTGCTCCAAATAAACACTCACTATTACTTACGAGGCACTTGGGAGGGTTGTAGTAAACTACGCGTCACCCAAAAATACCCCCACACTGAGTTATACTAACTGGCAACGTCTAAAAGTTAAATAAAGCAATGCACTAATGGCATTTGCTGGTTGCGTAAAAATGAGTGACATGCATTTACACAATTAAACATGAAACAAATAGTCAGAAAACATAATGAAATGCTGTCCTAACACTTTCTTAGATGTTATCAAGAGCACAGAGCAGATCACCTTACTGTTAACTCTAAAAGGTAAAACCAAAATATCAGGCCCACCCTCGAACATAAGTTCAAATTCGAAGATGACCACTTGCTTACGAACAACCAAGAGAGCATCTCTCAGCTTGAATATGCTTGCGAGATCAAAAATTTTCATTCCACTGAATTACAAAGTTTCCTTCACGAGAAATCTAAGCTACTTGGCAGAATTCCATCAATAATATCAGCTAATGAAAACAAACTTGACTGGATAAGATCACAAATAAGATCCGCTAGCACAAATAAGATCGGGTTATTCAACACACATTAATAAATACTAGTGGAGGTTGAATAACAATATATCTGACGTCTGCCCAAATTGTTATACAAGGACCACACTTCACTGACCATCTGTTCAACTGCCGGGTACTCCCTATCTCATATACCATCCTTAACCTATGGGAGAATACCGAAGAAGCTGCCAAACATTTGCAGCTTATTACATAGCTCCACATGAGAATAGTTGTTTTTCGGTTCTCCTCACTAACTAAAAACTGCCAGCTTGAACCGCGCTAGAGGTTTCATTCGGTTCTTCGAACGCCGAAAAACTTGGCCCCTGGAAGGGGCATCATTAACGACAACCGAACCTCCCTCTTGAGTGCGCTACACAAAGAGGAAGCGCCGACACCAGCACAAAGACGCTCTCACTGGAAAAAGTTGTTTCACCTTCTGCGTCGGTTTTGCAGCCAAAGACCCTCGAAGATTCCCTGATTCTCTTTATTTCTCAAACAGAATCGATCTCTCCAGTTCAATCAGAAGTTTGGCACCAAAAGTAGTGTAGCTACAACAACATAGATTGACCAAAATACACTCTGGAAGTAATAGAATTCCGGAAACGTTTGTCATTTGGTTTGCACTTATTATTTAAACTTGCAGTGTAGTAAAATGGAGTTTTTGATCGCAATACCATCGTATAGCATCCGTATCAGTTATTTACAGTTTGATATGGTCTGGAAGAGTGTTTTATAGATGATGTTTAAACAAACATAACAAGAATCAAGTCAAGGTATTGTAATTGTATACCAACATCATTTTTAAGTAAGATTTGCAGAAGGAAATGAGTTTCAGCCTCATCCAATCCTAAAGTTCAGCTTCAGATGGCATCAACAGAAAACAGTTGATTGTGTCACTTTTGAATTCCTTGTCCAACTCATTTTTTTGTTTTTTATTTTTATACCACTAATCATTTTTTAATTAGCGAGATGTGACGAAGTTTTTCTATGGAATCTCAAAATTATCGCTGCCCTTGAGCTCAAATTGAAAGACAAAAATTTCCACTTTTGTATTAACGCTCAGCAAATGTGGCGTATAGGTTTGGCTGAGAATTCAGTTTAAATTGAATTACGTACTCACAGGGGCGGATCTAGGATTTTCTCGAGGGGGGGGGCGGATTTTCAAAAAACTTTCGAACATTTTGACCTTTTTTTAGGTCGACCAAATTGATTTTTCGAGCTCTCCCAAAGCACTGCTTTGCCCCTATTATGGCCAAATTTTCTGCGCCGGCCGCATGCAAAATTTTGAAAAAACAGGCCAAAAAAAGGCGTTTTTAGGCTTTTTTTGGAAAATTTT